AGGCCTATGGAGAGGTGAGAGGCACCTCCGTCCTTGCCAGCCCCGCCCGGGTCCCCTCGAGCCTGCGAGGCGCTGGCCCAGCAGAGACCACGCACCCCGCCCTGCCCGGCCCCGGCCCGCTCCCCCGGTGGGAGGACAGAGACCCCTCTGCTCCATGCGGGGCCTGAGGCTCGAGTTTGGACTCCTGGCCCCAACCAGGCTGTTTAAATCCGGGAGGCTGGCGTTGGGGTCAGCGTTAGGGTCACCCGCCGGCACGCGCCAAGTGGATGAGGGTGGCCCTCCAGACTGACAGCTTCGCCCACCTGCACCAGGCCAGCAGGAGGAGATGGGCGGCCGGTGGGGTGCCTGGCGTGGGGTCTGCCACCTGGGTCCCTGATGTCCCCCGTCCCTGGGCGTTCCTGGCTCAGCTAGGCTCCTACAAGCGCGACCTCTCCCAAAGCAGGCGCGAGGGTGCCCAGCCCACCGCGGTGTCACCCTTGTGACTGTCAGTCAGTGCTCAATCCAGCTTCGGTCTCCAAATCTTGACTAGAGCTTGCGTAGACCCGGCCCCCGGCCCCGGTGGGAGCCTCCTGAGCCTCGTCCTTCACCCAGCCCTGCGCGCCGGCTGCTTGCTGCCCAGCCGGCCGAGGCCTGGCCAGCGTCCTCCCCACCCCCGCTGGGACTCGCACGGGCCTCACGCGGCTCCTTGCTTCTCGTTTCAGTGCTACAAGGTGAGCTGCCTGGAGATCCCCGGGCCCGCCGGCCCCAAGGGCTACCGCGGACAGAAGGTGAGACGCCCAGGCGCCTTGGGGTCCACACTGCCTGGAAGCCCCCCACCCCTAATCCCGAGGCCTTAGGGCCAAGCACACCGTGGGCGGGCCCCACACTCCTGACCCTGGAGGAAGCAAACTCAGTGTTTATCTCCTTCCTTTTAAAAGGCACTGTGAGATGAGTAGGGGCACTTTTTTGTTAAGATTTGCCATTAAATACTCGTGTAAACGCGGGCCAAGTACGTGAGCAGGACGTGGACCAGGCCTCTGTTAGTGCTGTGACTGCTGACTCATGCAAGACCACGTCTGTCACCCATCAAAGCAGGTTTCAGGGTCTGGTCGGCCCTGCGTTGTCCTCATAACAGAGGCACATAAAATGAAACCGTTCCAAAGTCCGCCACTGGGCACCAGAAACGCCAGCAACGCGTGTCCGGCGTGAGGAAAGGCAGAGGAGGGGACAGCCCTCTGCGGTGACATGGGACGGTCTGAAATGCTGTCACGGAGAAAGTTTTCTCCTTTCTGACTCAGAAGAGAGCTGTCCACCCACAGGGCGGCCAGCAGGTGCTCCCACCGCCCTGCCCTGGGGGTCCTGGGTCAGGGCCTCCGTCCAGGCGGAGCCGGCAGTCATAGGTCGGGGAAATGGGGTCAAAACAGGCCCTGGTCTGATGGAGGCGGCTGACCCCACTCTGACATGTCCCAATGTGGCATTGCCATCGTCGCCTGGGCAGGACCAGCAGCTCTGGACACGCCGACCCTGAGATTCTCCCTCTTCCACCTCCCAAGAGCCGGTGACAGGGTCCCTGTGGCCCCCCTCCCTGCCTCAGTTTACCGCTTTTTCTGTTGTCTGCTTTCAGGGCGCCAAGGGCAACATGGGGGAGCCCGGAGAGCCAGGACAGAAGGGACGGCAGGTGAGTGTCCACCCCACACAAGGGTCGGCCCCCTCTCCCAAGGCTGGGGTCACACCCACGGCTCGCTGTTCTTCTGCAGGGCGACCCAGGCATCGAAGGCCCCATCGGATTCCCAGGACCCAAGGCAAGTCGCCCCCAGCCCTGCTCTGTCGCTGGGGACATGGGGACAAGCCAAAGGCCGCCTGGCTCCGGGTAGATGTCTCCGGCCCAGCCCAACCTTCCTGCCCCCGGCCCAAGGAAGCGAAGCAGCTCCGTATTTTGAATGTCATCCCCAAACGGAGAGTCCAGCCTGAGCCCCAGTCACACCCCCAACCCGAGGCTGGTGACTACGCCTCCTCTGGTGGCCTGGGGGGAACCACGCCCACGCCCCACCCTAATCCGCTTTTTCCTTCTCATCTCAGGGTGTTCCAGGTTTCAAAGGCGAGAAGGTGAGACTCCAACTCTGAGCAGCGAGACCTCACATGCCCCCAACTCCCACATCATCCTCAGAGGGCCCATGGTCCCTGCTGGGGGCACCATGTGGTTTCGTGCCAGTGGCGGCCTTGTTCTGGGGTCTTTCTGGCCTCGCGTGTGGCCGAGGGCAGACTTGGGCCCCTGAGGGGTGGGTCTGGGATGCTGGAGACCCAAGCTAACGGCCTGACTCTCCTCCTGCACAGGGCGAGTTTGGAGCCGACGGAAGGAAGGTAAGCCGGGTGGTGGGCTGGGTGGGCCGGATGCCCCACTTTCATTTCCGGCTGCTCCAAGGGGGTGACGGTCGGGGCTGACGGACCCCTCCTCCTCCTCCCTCCAGGGCTCCACTGGCCTGGCCGGCAAGAACGGGACCGATGGACAGAAGGTAGAGGGCCCCTTGGGCCGCATTCCGGGCTGGGCAGGCGGGCCTTGCTGCAGCACTGGTCCCGTGGGAACGAGCAGAACCCTTCGGCTCTCTGGTCCTTCCTTGGGGCCGGGCCTCCAGGCCCACTGGCCACTGCCCACACTCGTGGTTTGGGCGGCCCCAGTTTGCACCTGTCCAGGGGATGCAGGACAAACAAGGACATTGCAGGGGCAGGAATGGACACTTGCTTCTGAAAGCCAAGGCCCAGCTTTGCAGGAACCTCCCAGCCTGTCCAGGACATCCCCAGACCCAGCCGACTGGCAGTTCACAGACATACACACACACACAAACACCACAACACTCACACATGCACACGCATCACACGTGCACACCGACCACACGTGCACACATCACACGTGCACACCCATCACAGTGCATGCCCATCACATGTGCACATGCATCACACATGAATACCAGTCACACGTGCACACACCACACATACACACTGATCACATGTGTGCACATCACATACACATCCATCACACATCCACACATCACATATTCACACCCATCACGCGTGCACACATCACACGTATGCACCCATCACGTGCTCACTTATCACATGTGCGTACCTATTACAAGTGCACACATCACATGTACACATCCACTACATGCATACATATCACACACACACACACATTACGGGTACACTCATCATACGCGCACACATCATACACGTGTGTGAACATCACATGCACACATGTCACACACGTGCACACATTACATGTGCACACGTGGAGAGGACACTCTGGGCACTCCTGCTCCCAGCTGCAGCCAGGGACTCTGTCACGCCCGCAGAGGTGCCACCACGATGGTGGAGCCATTACAACACAGGGCCGCAGGCCATGCACCGGTGCCTGTGGAGCGGCATGGACTGCACCTGCCCTTTGCACCTGTCATTAGCGTGCACCACCCCCGAATGCCACCCTGACTCATACTCTGCTCCCCATTCTCCTTCAGGGCAAGCTGGGGCGCATCGGACCTCCTGGCTGCAAGGGGGACCCCGGGAGTCGGGTAAGCACGGTCCCCACTTCTTGCCTCGAACCCCTGGCGCTGGCAATGAGGGCGCCAGGCAGGGGTGAGGAACAGGGAGTCACTGAGCATGGACCCTTCCTTCGGCCCTGCGCTGCCCATGTCTGACCCCCCGACTGGGAATCAGCTGAGGCTGGAGCCACAACGGGACCAAGTGGCTGCGGGGGCATCCAGGCCAGTCAGAGTGACTGCTTCCCAAGGTCAGGAGAGCTGGGCGCTGACCTTGTCTGGTCGTCTCGCCCAGGCCCAGGGCGTCCCGGCAGCCGAGAACAGCGTGAACCGTCCAGTCCAGACAACTGGGGCCGGTCGCCCTCCCCATGTCCGCTAGCCCTGGGTGCACGGGGGACCCTTGAGCGCAGCTCTCAGCGGAAGCCCTAGTCATCCCCCCCCGTCCCTCGCAGGGCCCCGACGGCTACGCGGGAGACGCAGGCAGCCCCGGAGAGCCCGGAGACCAAGGAGCCAAGGTAGGGGCCAGAGCAGGGTCACCGCCCCCCACGGCTCCCCGCTGCACGCGGGCCTCCGGAGGGGGCCGCCCGGCCGAGGACGGCAGGGGAGACGCCCTGAAAACCAGCCCTGCAGGGCAGGGGGCCTAGGGGTGTCCGCCCAAGGTTCCCCGCTTGCATGATTCGGGACCGTGTGTCCCATGCCCCCCTCCTCCCAGGCCTCCAGGGGCCCCTTTAGAAGGCTTTCAGGTGCCTGTGGGGGTCCTGCCTCTTAAGCCACCTGAGGCGTCACTTGGTCTGCCTGCGTCCACTCCCCTGGCCACCCAGGACACTGGGGGAGCAGGAAAGCAGCCTTTCCCCTAAGAAGCCAGCATCAGACGGACCATGTTTGACAAAGTCACCTGCTGGGTTGCACAGGGGCTCTGGCCCCCAAGAGTGGGCTCCCGGATGTCGGAGGGGAGGCATGTGCCCCTGGTCCCTCCAGGGTCCTGCCCCATGGCTGGTGTCCAAGGGACATAAGGCTGATTTCTCCACACTCTCCCAGGGGGATGCTGGCCGCCCAGGACGCAGAGGGCCACCAGGAGATGATGGGGCCAAGGGAAGCAAGGTAAGTGTCCCAGAGGTCCTGCCCTCCTGCCCCAGTCACACGGCAGGCGCCTGCTGGCCTGCAGATGGGGGCGCAGGAGGGACAGCAAGCACCTCCCCAGCCCGTGCCCTGAGCGGGCTGCCAGCCTGTCACGCTGCCAACTGATGGGGTGCCCCCTCCCCGAGGCAAACACCGTCCCGCCTGACCAAGCAGGGCCGCCTGTGGGTTCAGGTGGTCGGATCATGCCCTGGTCCTGCCCCTGGCTGAGCTGCCCCTCTCTGCAGGGTTACCAAGGCAACAACGGAGCCCCAGGAAGTGCCGGTGTGAAAGGGGCCAAAGGCGGGCCTGGGCCCCGGGGCCCGAAAGGCGAGCCGGTGAGTTCACCCCGCGGCCGCCGCGCCCCCCTCTCTGAGCCTGAGCGTCCCCAGTGTGCCTCCGCGACCCCACTGCAGCTGAGGAAAGCCCAGCCGTGCCCCTGCTGGACACTCAGTGCCCGTGAAGGGGCCCCGCCTCCCCACCTTGCCCTCTTGGCAGGACACCCGCGAGGGCTGAGCATGGACCCGAACACACACTCCGCGGGGTAAAGGGAGTCACACTGTCCCCGCCCCAGCCAGCCAGTCCGGGGGTGTCCCGCCTCCGAGCGGGAAGGGCCCAGTCCCAGGACCGATCCTCCAGGGGTCGCATCCCGAGGCCTGGCCCGGCCCGTAGTGAGCTCGGTGACCGCGCTGATAGCGGTCAAGCCAGGTCCCCAACACGGTGACTAAACCATGCCCGGATGGACAGCTGACCAGGAGCCCGCCCACCGTTTCCTAAATCCTTGGCTGGGGCCACACCGAACCGCCAGCATCCTCGTGGGGAGAGCAGAGTGTGGGGTCCCCGTGTGGCCCTGCCATCAGGGCCCCCACCCACACACCCACTCTCTGCAGGGGCGCAGGGGAGACCCCGGAACCAAGGGCGGCCCAGGCGGCGAGGGCCCCAAAGGCGAGAAGGTGAGAGTCCGCAGGGAAACGCGGGGGGTCGGGGCCACGTCTGCCTCTGCACCGGGCCCTCGCCGTGGTCCATGGTCCCCAGAGCCGAGGGAGAACAAAGCGCCCCAGGGCCTCGCGGCAGGCCTGGGAGGGGCCCGGCGGTCCCAGGGGGCATGCGCCCCGGGCTGCGGCTCCCTGGGACTTGCGTGAACCGCCTGAAGGAGGCCCCTCCCCTGAGGATAGGTGGGGTCCCCGTCCACTCCCGCACGCCCCAGACTAACTGAGCCTCTCCTCTCACAGGGAGACCCTGGCCCCGAGGGGCCCCGGGGCCTGGCAGGGGAGGTCGGCGGCAAAGGAGCCAAGGTAAGTGGCGGTGGCAGCACCCAGCTCCCCGGGTGGGGGGGCTGCGCCTGGGACCCC